GAAATTGAAACTAATTCTTTGTTCACATAAGTATGTGAGTCAAGTGAAGGACTAGGAGATCTGGTACACAATGTTGTGCACTGGTCAAGTCCACCACAAAGAACGATAAGTTTATTCGTCATGATTTACTAAAAGTCTAGTAAACGTGATTATGCTTACAAGATTAAGTGTAATTCTGAATCATTGAAAAGTTTCAATGAATGACAGAATGAATAAGAAGAATCAATGAAGGCAGAAAGATAAAAGTTTCTCCAATCTAAGAAGAAGGGAGAGTACTTTTGTATCGTGTTTTATGATCGTCTTGGTTATTGTAGGAACCATATTACAATTCATCCTCTAAGGATACCTTAGTGCACTAGTTTGGCTAAGAAGAGGAATGGTGAATTGTAGAAATGGTTAAGTCAATAAGATGTATCGTACTTCGTTCCAATATCAAGTCTTAGAGTCATACTCCAAGACTGTGAATTGAGTGACATAATCTTAAGTAGGAATGTTCTACATTTGCACATTTTGGTAAGTTGTGATGTCTTGGATAAAGACCAGCTAATACCAAATTGTGTGTAGGTTTGTCTTGATAAAGACATACACTGACTCTTGAATATTTGTTTTGTCAAGAAATGTTTCTCGACAAGAGAATCTTATATGTCAAGAGGTCAGTGGGAGTCTAAAGATCTTGGAAAGTTTCAAGAACAAATCAAGAAGTAAACCTATTAAACACTAGCACACGACTTGAGGATTGTAACCTATCGTGTTGACAAAATTTTATTTCTGTGCCAATCCAGTTGAGTGATTATGCATATGAGTTCTACGAGTTCTCAATTGAATGCATAAGGGCAAACACCTTGATCAATGAAAGTACATTGACTGGCATAGGTGAGCTGCTAAATAACTTGGAAGCAATGGTGGGACCCTTGATGGCAAGAAATTAAGAATGAACAAGTTCTGTCCATAAGAGGTTGAATTTGTCACAAACATTATCTTACGATTATGCTTATGACAAATTTGCATGGATAGGAACACATGCACCATAAAATCTAAGTGTCATAAGGTTTCTCTCCTTCATGAAAATGATTGTGAGGAAACGCTTTCACTAAGAGAGATTTTAAGGAGATAGCGATTATGTAAATTGCATTCTCAAATTCGATTATGATTACGGCATCCCTCTTCATAGTTCGAATTGTGAGATTTGGCAATTAGTTTGAACATCGGGACTTATTGCTATAAGTTCTGAATTGTTTAGACACACATGTGAGCTATCTAAGGAAGGTGTGTGAGTTTGAGAAGCTTAGATAAAGGCTTATCGAAGCACATCGTATTGGAAATATGAACTTTGGAAGAAAGTCAATAAGTATTGTTTTCTAGAAGTTCAACTGTTTTCTGAATACGTGTCAAAGCTAGTGGGAGCATAAATGTTATGCTGGTATGGATATAATCATCATGTTAGTGGGAGCATGATTATTATTGCAAGTTAGCAATATTAATTATAGAAAACAAAAGTTTCACTTTGCAAAGTTGCATAGGTTGAAAAGTTGTTTTGCTATAATTAAGGGAGAGAATGTTATACTTCGTTTCAAATCTAAAGGTTTAGATCGATAAATTTTGATCAGATTTAGTCAAAAAGATATATGGATGTTATGTTGAAAGGATTCAACGTAAGAGAATTCTATATATGGAAATATTTGTTGCGTTCTCACACTCGATTATGATTACGGCATCCCTTTTCATAGTTCGAATCGTGAGAACATGGCAAATAGAAATATTATAGCAAAAGACTGGTAAAGTATCATGTCATTGTAATATTCGACCGTTCTAAAATTTTCCGAATGCCTAGGGCATTAAGAGGGAAAGAGGACTAGAATCGGATTTGACTGAATTAGTTAAACAACTGTCAAGGATAATCTAAAGTTCGCCAAGGATTGGTCGCTTGTGAACAGTTGGAAGTATAGTAATGGAAGGACCATATTGACATTATTATTATTAGATATGATTCTATTAATAATGAGTTGTCAAATATGGAAATGTTTCCTTATTGGGAGTTGGACGTTAAGAGTTTATGTGTAGATTAGAAAAACTTTTATGCAAGAAGGATGTTCAAAGGAATGTACTTTGAATGTGAGACTTCATGTCTATGGAATTGTCTTGTAACAATCTCCAATAGAGCATTTTGTAATTTCATTGGCCGAGTCTTGGTGACTTTTGTGCCATGACATTACGAAAGGACTGTTGCATAAAGTGTTAGAATCTAACATATTCTATAAGTGGCAAGAATTTGGTATTCTTACACTTGTGGTAAGGATTGGGAATTGTAAAATGAGTGTGATTGAAAATGTTGTTCAATTATACTATTTCACAGAGTAAGGACCATAAGTAAACATAGTGTGCATGCTAAGAGCATGGGACAATTGTCGTTATAATTCAAGTAAGAAGTTGATTACCCGAAACAACAAATAATGAGTAATCAATATGGTGATTAAATAAAAGTGTTTTATTTATACTCAAAAGTTTGGGGCCATATAAGATTAGTATTATTCTTGTGTTTCAATTTGCATGTTTTGACTTCCTAAATAATTGAGTTATTTGAGAATAATCGAATTATTTGAACGTTCCACAGTCGCTCATACTTTGGGAGTAGGTATGAAAGAAGATTGTCATGAATTGGTGTGTAGATTGTCTAAAGTGTATTAGACATAGCAAAAGTTTGCTACAACGTTCATGAGTGCTTACATGATTTGAGCATTGGATTAAACCCACGCTCACTTGGATCGCTTCATGGATTTTATCACGAGTGATTGGTGAGACGATAATATCTTATATTCTTAAAACCGAGATGTGTGAGTTGTATCTTGCGAGTCGGTTATACATTGATAATATGTAAACGCACCAGTAACTTGGTGTTATAAAACGTATTGTTGTGTGTGATTCGGTGAGTGAGTACAAGCGAGCATTGAGTCGAAGTTTATCCGTTCCTTTTACCCAAAGTGGGATAAAAGCGATATCTGTGGGCCCCTCAATGATTTAGTGATGACAAAGGAAAGTGCTCGGCTGGGCCAGGACTGATTTGATTTGTTCAATTAGTCAGTTGTCATAAATCAGAAATCGGGAAATGACACATAGACTGAGAGAATGATTTCAATCCATGTCTCACGTCTATATGATATCTAAAAATGGAGGAATATATGATCCCTTGTCTAAAGGACGCGTTTCTGATAAGATCAGAGTTGAAAGTGGCTTTTGAAAGCTACGATTGCTGATCAGGATCTGAAGTCATACGCAAAATAGTTATTAGACTTATCCAAGTGGGAGACTGTTGGATTAGTGTCTAAGTCCATGACTATTTTGGTATGTACTTGACCCGATGGTGCATGGTCATTTTCGGTTGCCTTCACCAAAGCAACTTGATAGGATGAATTATGGAGAGAGAGGATTAATTATGATTTATTAATATATTATATGAATAATATATTAAAGGAGAAATCATATTGTTTAATTAATATTGGGTCAATAATTAATTAAGAATTAGTTTTGTGGCTAAAAGAGATTAATTAAACTTAAGGGACTAGAACTGTGAATTGTGTGATAGTTGAATATTGGGCTATTGGACTCCTTATTAGAGGAGTGGACGAATTCTATGGGGAAACCCATTAGAAATCGTCCAAGGCCTCTAAAGGAGGAGTCCATGGGTTGCTTAGGGCCTAAGCAGTCAAATTAGGGTTTCCTTGTTAGATAACCCTAATAGCCTCACTATTTAAGCACCCCTAGGGCACCAAAAACGTGGCTAACTGATTCCTTAGGGTTTCTAGACGTTTTTGAGTGCCTCTCCTCTTCTCCTTCTTCATCCTCTTGCTCTTGGTGTTTGTGAGCCATTAGAGGAGTGACATTTGTGACTCTAAGCTTTTAGAAGCTTATTACTACAAGGAATAGATTGTTATTGCTACATAACAATCAAGGTAAGATCTAAACCCTATTCTTATGTTTATATTGATTATCACATGCTAGATCTAGGGTTTATGGCTTTGGATGATTATTGCATGTTCATTAGACAAACTAGATCCAAAACTTTAGGGTTTGCATGTACACCATAGGAATGTTGTAGTGCTCAAAACCCATCATTTAACATGGTTCATAGGATCAAATTGATCAGTTAATCCACACACGACCTAAAGAGGGATTTTTTACTGGACTTGTAGAAATAGAGTAGTCGTACACACACTTTTTAGTAAGGGTTACAGATGTACAATGAGACCTATTTATAATGATCGATTGGCCTAAAAAAGTGCTTATGACTAAAACGATGTTTAAAACAATTGTTTCATCAAATATTTTAAAGTAAATGTATTAGGAAAATGATTTGGAATGTATACATATATTATGTTACAAATTTATGTATCTTACTTGATATTTTTGTCTTATATATTTCTTTATATGACATGTACGCCATGCAGGGCCGGTGCAAACGTATATGGGGCCCGGGGCGAAAAGAAAAAAAATGACCCCTTAAAGACAAATATAATAAAGATTCAAAAAAAAATATCATTTATTCTTCACTATAAACGAGTTCAATTAGCAATAACAAGCAAGTCAAATTGTTTATCTTTTGAGCTAGTTTGAGTTTGAACCAGCTTTAGGCCCAAAAATCATTTAGGTAATAATTTTTTATATACACTACATAGCCCAAAAATTTTGGGCTCCCGGGAGACGTGGGTCCTGGGCGGTCGCCCGGGTTGCCCACCGTCTGGACCGACCCTGACGCCATGTTCATGATTGAAGCATTAGAGGACTTAGGTTCATTGACATGCCTTTGGTGATAGCCAAAAGAATGTACATTTGGGGTTTAACATGGAGAAAAACATTTAGACATTATTTTTGATATTTCTTATGTTGTATATTGATGCTTCTCTATAGCTTGTGGTAAAAGTTGTAAGTCCGTTTGAATTCGTAACCCATTTATACATGAATTTTTAGATCGAAAATCCGCATGAACTTGAATATACTCAATCCATATGGTATGATGTGGGTTGTTACATTATGGTGCTAACTAGATGATTGAATTGGATGCGGGCCACTTGCCTCCTTGTTTTCTAGGCTCTTTGCACAGTTCTACCATGGAAAGACTAGTAGCTAAATTGTTATTCTATTACCCAAACTTAGGATTGGATTCATTCAATTAGGTGTGGTAGAACAATGAGCGATCTCTTAAAACTTTCTTCAATGTGCGATGAAATGAAAATCTCGAGTACCAAACATAAACATATTTGGGGCTTGAAAAACTTTGGTGTTTTTTTTAATCATCTCGTCTCTTAGGAAAACTATTCATTACTTATCCCTTACATCTAAATCTTGTAGCTGGAACCAAATTATTCATGGTAAAGTTAATGTTTTAGCTTGGAGGTTGCACCATGGAAACCTATGGCTAATCTCTATCGTTTTAAGATTATCTCATATCCTACTTGTCGGCTTTATAGTGTGTGATTACTAAGGAAAATTTGGTGTAATTTTGTGAGTTGGTGGAACATTCTTCGAACTACAATTCAACTAGTTTTTGTTCCCGAGTTTTTTTGTAAATTTATTAAAGGAAATGGAAAGAAAATTTTGACAAAAAGAAAGGGAGGTGAAGGAAAATATTTATTATTCCGTGTTTCCGAGTTCGAAGGAAATGAAAGGAAAAATTTTAAGTTTTTGTGTTCCCGAGTTAGGAAGAAAAAGAAAATAAAACTTAAAATTTTCCTTCCCCTCACTTTCTTCAAAAATCCGCCCAATTTGGGAGGAAAATTTGGAAGGAAAATATGGCTCCAAAATCATTTCCTTCCCCCTCACTTTCTTTCATTAGTGAAACTCGGGAACACGATTTTCCTTCGACACCCCTCACTTTCCCTTCGTATCCTCCCATTTCTCTCCTTAAGTAGAACTCGGGAACAAGGCGTTAAAGTTGAATTTTTTTTTTGGAAACGGCGAATATTATATTATAAATAAAAGTCCAACACAAGTAGCAAGCAACTATTTGTGGGCAGTTACAGGAAAAATACAAAGTTTTAACAGAATGGAGATATACTCCAGTCAATCCACCTACAGTTCAACTCCGAAGTTCTATATTTGAACCAAGCATATGTTTGTGATATCACCTCGTCTGCAATCATAGTTGGTATCGGTTTCACCGCCTTAAAGATGGAGTTGTTTCTGGCCAGCCACGTAAACCAAAGCATCCCATATAGCACCACCTTGAATCTTTCCCTTTTTCTTGGACAATTCCCCCATGTAGCTGTGAAATTGAGGAATTCGGTAACTGTGTCAAAGTTTGTAGCTGGAATACCACACCATTTAAAGATCCAAGATATCGCCTCGATTGATATTGGGCATTTGACAAATAGATGATCGCCTGATTCCTGTTCGTCATTACACAAAGGGCAGGTTGTGTTTGCCATATTAATGCCCCTGTTCACCAAGTTTGTTGCTACCAGCAGCCTATCCATTAATGTTGTCCAAACAAAACATTTAACTTTCAATGGAATTGCTTTTACCCAGTTAATTACTATGCCAGTGTGAGGGTTTACAGAGGAGTCTAGCTTTTGTCTCAGGGTATTGACCGTGTAGTTTCCATCTGGGTTTAAGTTAAAACGAAGTCCGATTGGTGTAGGATTTGTATTAAATCCTTGAATGATGGAGCATAATTCCATAAAATCATCTAGAACCTCCCCGTCCATAGTCGCCGATTTCCACCTCCATTTGAAACCTGTTTGATCAATTCTATCTGTTATCCTACACAATTTTTTCGACTCCATCTCATATAGTCTGGGGAAACGGTCCTGTAAAGTTAGGGAACCACACCATCGATCCTTCCAAAACAAGATATTAACATTTGAACCGGGCATTAGAGTGAAGATTTCCTGATGATTGATGTCAAATTCAGGGAGAGATTTTATTGCCTTAGCAATATTACACCAGGCACTGCCTAGTGAGGCATTAGCAATATAAGTGACTGGCTTATTTGACAAATTGTGTATACTGTTGATGCACTTTCGCCATAGCCCCCCCCCCCCCCCCCCCCCCCCCCCCCGATATTGCCTTCAATCTCCACCACCATTTTGTAAGCAGTGCCAAATTTTGAGCTTTTAATGAACCCACCCCAAGGCCACCATCCTTCTTAGAAGCTATAACTTTTGACCATGAGACCCAATGAATTTTGCTTTTGGTGTCGTCCCCACCCCATAAGAACCTTCTTCGCAACTTTTCAAGTTCATCTATAATGCCAGATGGAGCTTTAAATAGGGAAAGCTAGTAAGTTGGGAGACTATTTAGGACTGATTTGATAAGGGTGAGTCGCTCCCCGAATGAAAGGGTTTTGGCTTTCCAAGTTGATAAGCGTGCTTGGAATTTGTCGATGATTGGCCTCCAATGTTTCTTCGATGCCATATTAGCTCCGATACACATTTATTATGTTTCTATTAGAGTAAATTACATGAATGGTCCCTATGGTTTAATGTAATTTGCACGTTTGGTCCCTAACTTAATTTTTTAACTCGGAAGGTCCTTATTGTTTGTTTTTGTTACGCGCTTGATCACTGTCTTACCTAAAAAGACTATTTTGCCCTTGATTTTCTAATTTATTTAAATAAACACACCCCCAACCTCGCCTCTCTCACCTTAACTTACCTACCTCACCATTTTTACGTATTTAAATAATAATTTTTTTAGGTAAGATAGTAACCAAGCGTGTAACAAAAACAAACTGTAGGGACCAAATGTGTAACAAAAACAAACAGTAAGGACCTTCCGAGTTAAAAAAATAAGTTAGAGACCAAGCATGTAAATTACTCCAAACCATAGGGACCATTCATGTAATTTACTCTTTCTATTATTATGTTGAATCGAATGGTGTTGTAATCCAATGTAAAAGTAAAACTTTGATTGTTATTACTAGCTAGATACACATTTATTATGTTTTATTCAATTTTGTGTGCGATCACTTTATTGAAAATTGGGCGTTGCGAATGCTAGGGTTGGCGTTGGGGCTCATTTATTGGAAGATAAGTACATACTCATCCAATCGCATTGCGTCACTTGCAATCTTGCATTTACAATCTGACTAAAAGTCAAACTGATTTACCACAACAAATCCTACAACCCTTTATAAATAGAAAATATTTTCTCCAAAGCTCTCAACTTTTCCCAATCTTCTCAACAAACAAGATAAATCTCCCATGTTCTATGATTAGTTCTCGTACAAATCCATTCTTCCAATCCGAAAAGATTCAAACACCAAACAAGGTTCGTCTTCACTGATTCAGTTCTCCTTCAATTTTACTCATTAATTATTTGTTATATCCCATGTTGAAAGATGAATCAAACCCAATTAAGACACTCGATCATTGTAAATTCCCTTGAATTACTGCTTAGATTCCTTTTCAAGCAAACGTTATATCGAAATTTTAAGTGACAGTACATGAACTGGTGTTAATTTGAGGCTCCGATATATAAAAAGTGGTGTTTGTTTTGTTGCATTCCAGGTGTTCGATCAATTTACAAACTGTATAGAATGAGAAACCGGTCAAAAAATTCTCCGGATACATCAAAGGAAACCAGTGATGGTGTGAAGCCAGTAGACGAGACAAAGATTAAGAATGTAGTAGTGACTGCAAAGAGATCACCTTATGCAGTTCTCGCTTTGTTTATCTTAGTCATACACGGAATATGGGCAGTTCATCATTATCAATTCGAGAATTTACCGGAGCCGCTTTCCGCCGATCAGGTAGGGAAAAGAGGGTTTTCCGAGGAGTCGGCAATGAAGCACGTCAAAGCATTGACTCAATTGGGTCCTCATCCTGTTGGTTCTGATGCTTTGGAGCTCGGTTTACAGGTACAATTACGATCGATTTTAACCAGTTAAATTACACTCATTTACACGATTGTCTGCTAATTCTTCTCCTTTCCGATTTCATTCCGAAGTATGTCTTAGAGGAAGCTGAGAAAATAAAGACGACAGCTCACTGGGAAGTCGACGTCGATGTTGATCTTTTTCACGCAAGTTCTGGTGCTAATATACTCGTCAGTGGACTTTTCAAGGGGAAAACACTTGTCTATTCAGATCTTAAACATGTTGTTTTAAGAATCTCGCCAAAATATACATCTGAAGAAGTAGATAGTGCGATTCTGGTCTCTTCCCACATAGACACTGTCTTCTCAGCGTAAGTTTCTTCCATTTATGATTTACCTCTTATTCTCTTTATCAACTTCAAAATGAAAATGGAGTCTTATGTTTATAAAGGGAAGGAGCTGGTGACTGTAGTTCTTGTGTAGCTGTTATGTTAGAGCTTGCTCGAGGAATCTCCCAATGGGCTCATGGTTTCAAGAACTCTGTTATTTTCTTGTTTAACACTGGGGAAGAAGAAGGCTTAAATGGAGCCCATAGCTTTATTACTCAGGTGTTTCTCTCTTACCCTTATTTTTAATCATGTGTTTAAGTTATAACTTAACTTATAAAATCTTTACAGCATCCATGGAGTAGTAGCATACATATGGCTATAGACTTGGAAGCCATGGGCATCGGTGGAGCATCTGCTATTTTTCAGGTCTTGTTTAATGAATTTTTTTTTAATTTTAATTTTCTAAATTAATTTGTCAACTGTCACTTAATTTGTTGCTCATTTTGACAGGCGGGTCCGAACCCATGGGCAATTGAGAACTATGCATTGGTAGCAAAATACCCCTCTGGTCAAATTCTTGCTCAGGTGATATTCCTTTTTTTTTAAAATTATATATAATGTTAGTTTTTATAAATCTTAAATTCATGATTTTTATGTTCAGTTTTTGTTTAGTGGTGCAGGATCTTTTTACATCAGGTGTCATAAAATCTGCTACTGATTTTCAAGTTTACAAAGAAGTTGCTGGTCTTTCAGGTCTTGACTTTGCTTATGCAGACAATACAGCTGTATATCACACAAAGGTATTCTTGAATTTCAAATCATTATTATTATAAATAACTTCTCAAATATTATCTTAAACTAAAAAACCGATAATCTTTTGCAGAATGACAAGTTGAAACTTTTAAAACCGGGTTCCCTTCAGCACCTTGGAGAAAACATGCTTGCTTTTCTTCTTCACACTGCTTCATCTTCTCAACTCACTAAAATGGCATCCAATGACAAAAGTCAACATGATCCCGCCATATATTTTGACATTTTGGGAACATACATGGTTGTATTCAGACAAAGTTTAGCCAACATGTTATACAACTCAGTGATAATGCAATCCATGATGATATGGGGTACATCAGTTATGATGGGTGGTTCAACATCTGCAATCTCATTAGCCTTATCATTTTTTAGCATCCTGCTTATGTGGATTTTTTCTTTAAGTTTCTCAATTGGTGTTGCCTTCATTCTACCCTTCATATCATCATCTCCAGTTCCCTTTATTTCAAATCCATGGCTAGTTGGAGGTTTATTCCTTTCCCCTGCTTTCCTCGGGGCTTTGACCGGTCAACATATTGGTTATCTTTTATTACAAAAATATATTTTCAAAAAAATGGAGAATCTTTCTCTTTCTCTTTCTCTTTCTCATGTGGTGAAACAAAATTGGGCCAAATTAGAAGCTGAAAGGTGGTTATATAAAAGTGGTTTATTACAATGGCTTATTCTTCTTGTTGTGGGACATTATTTTAAAGTTGGATCTTCCTATTTTGCCCTTGTATGGCTTGTCTCCCCAGCTTTTGCTTGTAAGTGCATGAGTTAATTAATTAACTTTAGCTATTTTTAAGTTAAGATTGTGATTTATGATATATAAATTGTTGATTTTTTTAGATGGATTGCTTGAAGCAACTTTATCCCCAAATCGAGCACCAAAGGCACTTAAAACAATAACATTGATTTTTGGATTATTTATACCATTTTTAATCTCTGGTGGCATGTTTGTTCGATTGGCAGGGACAGTTGTTGGTATGGGTGTTCGTTTTGACAGGTATTCACTCCATGGGCATTTTTGTAATTTTGACTTCTTTTGTATTTCAAAATGTTTTTACATTTTATATGAATTCAGGAATCCTGGAGGGAATCCAGAGTGGTTAGGGAGTTTACTACTTGCTGTGTACATATCAGCTGTTGTATGCCTTTCATTGGTGTACCTCCTTTCATACATACACATATCAGGTTTTTTATTTTTTATTAAAATATTGATTTATAAAAATTGTTTTTTTTTGTTTGGTTGTTTACTTGTTTATCCTTTTTAGGTGCAAAGAAATTCATTGCAATTGGAAGCTTCATTGTGTTTGGCCTTTCATTAACATCAGTTATATCTGGAATCATCCCACCATTCACTGAAGACATTTCAAGAGCAGTAAATGTAATTTTTTTTGTCCATTTTGGTCATTTCACACTTTTCACTTTCTGGGTCCCACTTTTTTGGTGTTAAAATAAATAAAGATAGGATCTTGGTGTTAAAATAACATAAAGATAGAAATCATTAATAAATTAATAGTAAACTGCAAAAACAGTCATGTGGTTCTATTTTGTTTTGTTTGGGTCCAAAGAGGAGTATATATTTTTTATTTTTGGTCTTTATTAAAATGACCATTTTGCCCTTGGACCTGTTTAATAGTATTTACACTCTGAACATTCTTGATTTTAGATTAATCTAGATACTAAATTTTATAAATATTAAAATATCAATTATGTATACAAAGATTAAGCCCACACTTAAAAATATTAAATATCCCTTATAATTAGAAAAGAGTTTAATAATAAAATCATGAGTATTGAGTACATTACAAATTTGGTCCATGTCACTATGCGGTATATTGTCCTTTTTGTGTTTGGTCCAAGGGCAAAATGGTCATTTCAAAAATCTAACAACCAACTAGTTACATAAGGACCAAAAATAAGAAAAGATTCCTTTTTAGACCTAAACAGATGAAAATTTCTAACCTTTTTTGGCAGTTTACTTAGAAATTAAAGATTATAAGTCACATTTACTCACTCATAGTAAAAAATGCATACGTTTGTTTTTCAGGTTGTTCATGTTGTGGACACATCAGCAAACAAAGAACCAAGTTCTTATATTTCATTGTTTTCAACTACCCCTGGAAAGTTAACAAAGGAGATTGAACATATTGGTGAAGGGTTTGAATGTGGAAGAGAAAAAGTTATTGATTTTGTCACTTTCACTGCTTCATATAGTTGTTGGACCGAGGGCAATTCGGTAAATGGATGGAGTAAATCAGATATTCCAACATTAAATGTAGAAAATGATAATTCAACAACAGATGAAAGACTTACACAAGTTACAATCGATACTAAAGAGTCAACACGTTGGTCTCTTGCAATCAATACTAATAAAATAGAAGATTTTCGACTCAAAGGTACTACTACTGTGTTTAACTCTTTTACTAAAATGACCTTTTTGCCCTTGCCCTTTTTGACATTGTTCTTTCAGATGGTGAAAATGGGGAGGAACTGATACAAACTGGGACGAAAAGTAGTGCTGATGGATGGCATATTATTCAGTATTCTGGAGGGAAGAATGCTTCTAGAAGATTTGGTTTGACACTTTATTGGGGTAAAAATGGAACTCAGGTGGAAAATGATGAGAATGAGCTTTTGTTGAAATTAAGGACAGATGTTGATAGGTTGACTCCAAAAGTCAAAAGGGTTCTTGAGAAGCTTCCTTCATGGTGCTCATTGTTTGGGAAGTCAACGTCTCCACATACCTTAGCTTTCATAAGTAACCTCCGTGTTAATTTCTGATTAACCATACAAATTTAAACTTTGATATCGATTTCTAGGAAAGTTTTTTTGATTGTTGATAGGTAAATTTATGCTCAGAATCTTGTCGACTGATATTATGTTTAGACTATAGTTTTGGATGTTCAACATGATTGTTTGATGTTCGATTGTTGTCTATATAACTATGATACAAACTTGCCATAAGGGAGAGGTTTATTTTTTAAAATAAGCAAGGATCTTTTGTAATTGACAAAGTTTCTTTGTTTGGAAGTTAGAATAATAGTATTTATAAGGGTATTAGGGTAAGGTTTGGTGTTTTTGGTAGGCAAAAATTGATTTTCGAAACCCTTGGAGACCACTACTTTTTTTTTTTTAAACGACGAGTAATTCGGGTAATTTTTTCGGATTTTCGGGTCGGGTAATTCGGGTTTTTCATGTTAAAAAAAATACCCATTACCCGACCCAAATTAAATTCGGGTTTGGGTAATTCGGGTATCGGGTCGGGTTTGGGTAATTCGTTTAAACGACGAGTTAGTGTAAGAATCTATGACCTCCTTGTTAGAAACCATATTAGCCAAGTGGGTTAGCCTCAACTTGTACCTATTGTAGGCATTTTTTTTTTCTAGTTGTATTTTAAATAAAAATTCAATCTGGTTTGTATCAAATTGGTATTAGAGCGAGAGGTTCTAGAAACATATCTTGCAATTACGATTCATTTGGATATTGTTCATTGATTACTATTCACCATAGACACTATTCATCCATTTTACTTTCATCAATTTACTATTCACATAAACTTCATCGATTTACTCTTGATCGGGATACTTTCGCACCATCGACAACCATGAATAAGGTACCAGATTTGGAGGTGGAGGTGGAACTTAATCAACATCAAGTTGCAGTAGATGAACGATTGTGGAAAAGGATTTGGCATCAATGAGGCTAGAATCGAATAGGAGGCACGAAGAATTGGCTGAACTGAAATAAAGAATGATGACATTACTCACTCACTTGGCAAATAAGATATTACAGACTATCAAACCAAAATCGACGACCGAAACAAAACCAAAACCGGTTGAACAACCTACAATATGTCGTCCGGGTCACGATATAAAGACTTTGGATATGATGTAAAATTGCAAAAAAACTAAAAGGTTTCCAAAACTACTGGAAGTAGTTCTTAGGTTATGATTTTATTTTGTTTAAAATAAAAGTTTAAGTTACTCCCAGATGAAGTTTTTTTTTTTCTTTTATATATATATATATATATATATATATATATATATATATATATATATATATATATATATATATATATATATGGTTTTTTTTTTTCAAAAGCTAAAAGTTCGTTGTTTAATATACTTAATGTGACTTTTTGGAAAAGAATAATGACACAAACTTTCTTTCGTTACGAAAAGATTTATTATTATTATTATTATTATTAAATGACTGAATTTTTATTACCCAAGCAAGTAGCTAGAAGGGTATTACAACAACCTTTTGCGTTGTTGTGGGCCAGTGTTATTATTATTAAATACTTAATTTTTATTGTAAACTCTCGATCTTTTGAAAGAATCGGTCGACCAAGTTTTTTGGTTAGTAAGTTAGAATAATAGTTAGGTGTGAGCTTTGTTCAGAAACCAGAACCACAGTGGAACCGGAAAACAAAAACCAAGAGCCGAACTTATGGATATGGAGGAATTGAGAATCGTACTGAATTACATATTCGGTTCCCATATTGATTCCGATTCTGGTTTGGTTCGGTGCCAACAAGTATTTTGCTCACCCCTAATTAATAATATTTATAATGCATTAGGATTATGGTTTTTGGCAAGCGGAAATTAAGTTTGGAAACGTCGAGACCCATCTATTTCTCGAATTATATTTATAGTGCATTAGGATTAGGGTTTTAAATAAACGTTCTATCTGCTTGTATCAAACTCTTAATCATAGGTGTTGTTGCAAAGTTTTTTTTTTTTTGATAGTTGGAATTTTTGATAATTATAGTAGATTGTGTAAAACAGACCATTAAGTGATGGTAAAATGATTAGGTCATATATTATGTATAAGGTGGTAGAATAAGCCTCACATTTGGTATATATATTATTTCTGTACTTGTTTATATTGTTTAAGAATTAATATTGCATTGTACACTATATTTATGGTGTTTGTGTCCATTTGTAGAACGACCTATCTATCATATCACAAGATATTTCATCATTTTGTGCATTATCGTGCTATTTTGTATCATGCTCGAGAATGTATATCGAGACTTGAGTTACAAAAATTTAAAATTGACATAAATTTGAATTACAACACACAAAGCTATGCCATATATTAGGTGTTGTGTTGACTTTTTCCATTTCATCTTGACTTTAATGTCCTTCCATTCATATTCTATAAACCAAATTCAATAATATTACATCCAGTCATAAATAAAATATACAAAAAAAAAAAATTGTATGTTTGACTTTTTGACCAAATATCTTATATGGGATCTTGAGCCTCTTCGATTCGTGGTATATATCTTTGAAGATTCCTCTTCTTCAAATTTCCTTTTCTTTATTTATTTTGTTTTCGATATTTTTAGTTTTCTAGTGATTGACTTATTTGTTTACTTGTATCTTTGAAGATTCCTCTTCTTTAAATCAGTTATATTCTATATTGACATATATCTGTTAGCCTTTTTCCTTTTCAACCAATCTTATTAGTTTTCATATATAAGAAACATCCTTTTTTATATTATATAATATATATAGTAAGGCAATTTATTTCCGACAGGCAAGCCTATCGGTGGGTGTGCAATTAGGGGAAACAGCCGTGCAATTTGGTTTTCGATTTTAATAAATTATAAATTACAAAATAAATCCCGAAATTAAATCACATTAATTGGTGTGTGCGTGAGATCGAGACGTCCTCCCGACCATCGAAACGCCGCAAGTCTTGTTACACATGCCCACTTAATATTGTATTATATATCAAAACTTTTACAATATTAACCATTTATGAAGCACTTATTTAAAAAGAAAAAACTTGCTTAATTTGCTTTGTGATAATAGATTAATAAAGATAAAATCACAAAAATTGTCAAAATAGGGTAAACCGTTAAAAAAAACTACCCTTTTGATATTGATACAAAAATGAGCATTAAGAGTGAAATGGTGCCATTGAAAAATTCAAAACTTCTAAAAACTAGTCCTTCATATTTAATATAAAATTTTCATTTCTTTAATCAAAATTTTTTTTGAATCTCACAATATCTAACAGCCCACTTCATACTATGATTTTTTAGCAGAAAAAAAAAATCATTTTTTGAATATCTCTACAATAACAAAAGTTTCAATTCTTTTTTTTTTTTACGGCGGTTTGGTGCAGCGGGCAATGACATCCGATAGACAGTATGCCATAACACCCAACGAACCCGGGTTCAATCCTTGAAGATGACAACAAGATCAATATTTCATTAATATTTATCTAAGACATCTCTATCTTCAAAGAATCCGGGTTCAATCCTTGTGTTATTTATTTTCTTTTCATTTTTACTTGTTGTGTTTGTTTGTTTATTGATCTTTAATCCCAACAATAAAAACATTTAATATATTTTAAAAAAAATTCTGATGGATCAAAACAAAACACAATTTCATAACAACAATTGATTTTCACCATGGGTCTACACAAAATTGGTGGTTATTTTGTCTAGTAACTTAAAATATTATTTTATTAAAAGACTTTTTATTTTTGTGATTTTCTTTCACTATTAACTCCTATATTTAAAAAAAAAAAAAACAATTTTCATGATATTACATGAAAATAATGTAAAAAGAACATTCAGTTGAAGGAGATCCGTATTTTTGTGTCATTTTCCAACAATAAACTACTGAATTATCTATGTTTTACACAACCAAATCTTACCTATGATATATGATTGTAATCATCATATTTAGTTTTAAGAATAAAAAAAAAAGAGAATATATACTCATGAACATATCTCGTATTTAAACAGTTATTGATATACTCCACGCATTAAAACAAAACGCACGTAAGCCGGACCACCCACACGTGAGCAAGCTGTCTGTTTCTAATCCTTTGGGATTAACATTAATATTTTGCGTAACATAACTTGATATCATTAACAAATTATTTATTTAACATAAGTTAATCAAAAAACAACCAAACATAATAATTAAAAAAAAAAACTTCAAGAGACAAAACCTAGACTGTACACATCATCAAAGAAAATAAAAAGAAAAAACATAATTTCCTAATATTTAACGGAATCCGTTTGAATCGTCAACCTTCGTGCCGCCTTCGAGAACTCACTGCAACAACCAAATTCCACTTTTTAGTATCCAAACAAAAAATGTCAGAATTTCTGCATGTTGTGTACGACCATTACCTGAAAGGTTCGTCGCCGGTAGATTTTGTTACTCCGGCAGCATTCCGGTAGACCAAGTTCCGCCATGCATTTGGTTTTTGTAAACCGAACATGTGACGAAGCTCTATGTACAACTCGTCGTAAGATCCAAGTGCTGTCAGGTCGAGGGTCCGACCCATGTCTTCTGACGCCATGAAAACCTTACAATGGCCTGTCTCCGGCCATGGCCCATCTTCCTCGGAAGAGCTCCGGACAGAACCAGCTGTCTGAAGAACCACCGATCCATCAGAGAGATTCGCTGCTGTGTCACCGGAGACACCACTCTCTGATAGCTGCTGTTCTGTCAGAATCGGTTGTCCAAACAACACGAACATGGGTTTTCTCTTGTGATTTTCATTGTCTTTTTTCTTCGAACTTGTAGTAGTCTTTGGGGGGTTATGGGTTCCGATCGTTAAGAAAGAGGAAATGTTTTCATCGCGTTCCTGAAATGGGAATCTGGTGAAAGAGTTGTCATGAACATGATTAGTGAACCCATATGGGAACGGATTAATCAACGGATGCATTTGGTTGAACCGGAGACGATGATGATCTAGTCCAAACTGACAACTATGCCTGGCTCCCTGAATGCTCGTAAGCAGCGGGAAATCCGGATGTTGAGGATACCGGAGCTTCTTTCGTGGAGGCGAAAATGGCGAAATATGAATCGCCGGCATACTCGCCACCAACTCAACTAACCACGGGTTGACTCGCTTCACGTTTTGTAACAATTCTGGTTCGTCCCAAGCAACCTTCAATTCATCCCACGAATACCAACAAAAACAATGTCAAGAACTCGAATTAAAATAATTAATTAAGAATGAAATCAAGAAATTAATTACCTGAAGAAGCCTCCAAGGTGAATTAGGCCAACGGATTTGATCATCGACCTGAACTAAGGAGATTGTGCCCATAAACCAGCTGATTCTTGATGAGTCTTCGGTTTCGAAAGCCATCTTGAACCTCATTCCAGGACACCATTGAATTCTCATTGCAGCTTTTACAGTCGAAGCTTTGACACAGAACTCCGGCGTGCTTGCTCGTGGGTAGTACACAACTTCAAATGGCTGCCCATTAGCTGCAAGAGCCACAGCTTCTTTCACTAATTCAGCGCTCGATTTTCTTTGGTCATTCTGGGAGTTGTTGGTGTTTTTCCTCGTTTTGTGGTCGGAATCCGGCGACCCTCCGCCGTATAGGGAAGAATTAGCGGTGGAGTTCTCGAGAAAGCCTCCGCCGATTCCCCTCTTTGCTCTCCTGATTCCAACACAGAGTTCGCCGTTATCGGCTCTTAAAAAGACAATGGAATCACCAGCTATGAGCTTCTTGTGGTTGACGAAATTGCTCCAGCCGGTGGTCAAAAGATGCCGGCGGGGAGTCCCTCTATAAATATGTCGGAACTTCCATATCTGGCCGTGAACATCCTTCATCAAGATGGTTTGAACCGGTGGCTCCGCCGCGTAATCCAACCTTGGGAAAATAGTTTCGGCGCAGTATCTTGGTACAGAGAATCCACCGCCGTTGTTCGCATCAGATTGAGTCAATGTCTTGGCGAAAGAAGAGGGTTTCTCTTTGTTTTCATTAATTCTCTTATCATCAAACCCTAAAAACCCATCATTCTCGACATGATCATCAAAATCACAATCGCTTTGAACATTTCTTAAAGGAAAAAGCCCAATCTTAGCATAAACTTCATCAGTCTCGGAATCCGCCATGAACTTGACGGTGGATACTTGACACGGAATGTAAGGTGGGATCCGCCGGGAATCACCGAAATCAACATTTCTGGTGCCGGAATGCTCGACATGACCTTGAGGAAAATACAAAACCTTAGAGTTTAATGGCGGCATTTGCACCATTCCACCAGCACATGCATGCCATAACTGTGAATCCAAGCTTTTTTCCACTTCGTTCATGGGTTTCTTCTCATAATCCATCACGTTAATCATTGTGACGCCGAAGAATCTGTAAACCAAACAAGAAAACGCGTCAAATGGCTGCGAGATTCATCATTCTACGACATAAAATCAAGACTTTGATACGTTTATGATAGAATCTTGATTCATTTACAATCAAATAATGCAGGTTCAACTTAAATAATTCATATATCAATCAAGAAACCAGAAGGAAAGTGACACACACACACACAAAAACACACTGAGAGAGAGAGAGAGAGAGAGAGAGAGAGAGAGAGACCTAATGTACAAGTAGTAGAGAAGACAGCAGTTAAAACTGAAGTGCCATTAAAGAAAGAAACGAGTCTCTTTTAATTCCTAAAATCCCCATGTCTAGAAAACTCGAAGTTTAATTTGGCACAGTTGAATTCTGATTGAAATAAAGAAATAGTGAATGCAATTGCAGGTGAATGGGTATTTATAAGTGGTTAAAGGATAAATAAAAAAAGAATATAAGCAAGTGTGTGTGTGAGAGAGAGAGAGAGAGAGAGAGAGAGAGAGAGAGAGAGAGAGAGGAGGAGAGAGAGATAGAGAGAGAGAGAGAAGAGAGAGAGAGGAGAGAGAGAGAGAGAGAGAGAGAGAGAGAGAGAGAGAGAGAGAGAGAGAGAGAGAGAGAGAGAGAGAGAGAGAGAGAGAGAGAGAGAGAGAGAAACGGTCGTTCACCTGAAGCTTCGTTGCCGACCAGACGGTGGCATACAACAGACAGATACTTACATATATGTGTATGTATATATGTGTGTAGGAGAGAGAGAGAGAGAGAGAGAGAGAGAGAGAGATTTTGCGGGGTTTGTTATAGATTCCAGAATACCGACTCCCTTGTATATCGCTGTGGACTCTGGTGGAGAAAATGTTACATTTACACCCCTCAAAAAGTTTCGAGTTGTCATAGATAAACGGATCACATATTTTATTATTACATAACTAGTCCCTTATCAGAAGTCATGTAACCGTACAGATTTGAAAAAAAGGACGATGTTAGGATTAACATGCTTGTTAATAGGACACATAATTTAGTCATTTGCTGCTAAGTCAACACTTGGGTGGTGTTTGTTTTTGAAAAAGTCAAAAAAACATTTTGCCAAAAAATAAACACCATCTTAGTTTATTTTTGAAGTTAGTGAATACCATGCCTGTTAATCCCAAAAACTTTGTTATCAATTGAATTGAATCATATTACCAACTCCTATGACAAATTTTAACAAGAGAAATGAATGCAATAAGTATTTAGGCGTCACTATTCTTTTCTTGTACTATTTTTTTATGTATATGATTATAAAACTTTTTTATAACATATAATTACATAATAATCAAGTTCAATGAATGAAGTTTAACCTCAAAACCGATAAATACCCAAAACAAGGTTTATAAACCTCTTGAGTCTTGATTAACAATGGCTAGAATTATGCTCCGTATGAATTAAATGGTTAGCTTATAGTATTCAGTAACTATTAATTTAGATTGATTTTATTTAATTTTTTTAAAAATGAATAAATTTCCATGAAAATCTACAACTTCCGAATCCTGTTATTCCTCCTTTCCCGAAATTCAAGCCACAAAATTGGTCGGTAGATTGTTTGGACTTGCTAGATGGATAGAAGTGGATTACGGGGTATCTAAAATGTATTTTGAAACTTGAGGGGGTCATAATAAAATTTTACATATTTGAGTTCTTGACACTTTGATCAGATCTGAATCTCCGCGTTAATGGATACTCTTATCCCACTCGAACAGTTATGCGCGTGTCCTGCAATCACCACTAACTGAATCAGAATTTCAAGTTTCTCTCTCCTTTTTTTTCTTTTTAAATAATATTATAGATTATGTCTCTTTTACAACATATGAAACGTGTAGTATGTATCTATCATTTTATACGTGTATACATTTATGTTTACTATTTTTTTTTAAATAACACATTTTTTTTCAAAGTCATATTATTGGTAAATCCACAACGCGACATCCAAATTGTCATTTGGATAATGCATTAGGATGCAACGCCTTCATCATTACTTTGACGGATCATGAATTTACATCATATATAAAGATTGGTGCGAAGAATTTATTCTATTGACGATCATAAGATATTAAGATATATTTCGTTAACATGATATATTGTGAGAATTTTGTTTAATTAGGTTCCTTCAAAACGTTACATCACAAGTGACCGAATACATAAGGTAGCATGCCACATAAAGTGTTTGATTAGAGACCTGAACATTGACAGGATTATGTTCTAGCATAATGTTAGAGACATACATGTAGCCTTTTGTATGCATGTTGAATGACTTGAGAAGCATGCCATGTGTTTGAAGATTCAATCTAACATAATCATTATTATAAGCAACACTACTGTATTTTATAATTATAATCACTACTAACACTAAAAGGCATTTCACTTTTTTTTGTGTTGCAATTAGAGGTGACAATACTAGTCAATATATCTATAAACTGATTGACTTGGCTATATAGCTAAAAAAACGAATCAGATAGGTCAAACATGTCAAAAATTGCAGTAAACCAAATTGGGTTATACTAGATTATGAAAGTGAAAAGTTAGCAACACAACATGGATCGTCATACATGTCAAACATACAATTTAGTATCTTTGCTCCCATGAGATATCTTCAGGGCCGGTCTAGTGATATAGAGGATAGAAAAATAGCCCTTAAATATAAGGAAATTGATTAGTTTAAAAAAAAAAAAAAAAAAAGTGAGGGAACAAGCTTAGAACCTACTCTGTATAGGTATATAACATAAGGTACCACTTACAGCCAACTGAACTACAAGATTCATTGTTAATTATCTACGTAAACGTGTATATATTATGTCGCAAAGTTCAAACTAGTTAATTAAATTTTAAAAGAAAGCGTTGGAGCATGGAATCAAACCATGGTGGATTAAAAACGATTGAACTAAAAGTGCATCCCCAGCCTCTTGAACTACAAATAGTTTGCATATATCAGTACGTAAAAGGATATATATATATATATATATATATATATATATATATATATATATATATATATAAAATATCCGAGCCCTATTTTTTATGGGGTCCTGTGGTTGCACACTATGCACCCCTTTAAGGTCGGGCCTGAATTGCTTAGGCGATCTAACTTAAACAACAAACTTTAAAATGTCATTCTTGGTGACTTGAACATCACCGGATATAATCGACGTATCATGACCCCCTCTGATATTTTGCAAATATTGATGCATTCGTAACACCTAGTTCCTGATTTAGTAAATGAAAGAAAAACGTAAAAAGGAAAATATGGAAAGAGAAGGGGGAAATGAAATTATATGTCGACGTTCATAAGTTATAAAGAAAGCAAATGAAGATAGGAAACAAACATAGCTTGATAAATATACTTCCCTCCAAATCCATGTAATTTGGCAGGAATATTAGAAGATTAGATAATCCTTTATCTTCTCTCTTAATCTTTTCAAAAAATAATATCAAATTCAAAATAGTTTCTCTTTAATTTATTTCCAATTCTTTTCACTTTCATTCTCCTCTCTCCGAAAGTTCGACGCTCTGAGCTAGAGTTTCAGGTGGAGGATTTGGTGCTTATGAAGGTGTCACCCTGGAAGGGTGTTATCCGCTTCAGGAATCAGGGCAAGTTGGGCCCTAGATTCATTGGCCCTTTCCGAGTCTTGGCCCATGTAGGCAAGGTGGCTTACCGGTTGGAGCTACCGAGGGAGTCGAGACAGATTCATGATACCTTCCATGTTTCCCAGCTGATGAAGTGTATAGTTGATGAGACAGATGTGGTCCCTTTGGAGGATATTCAGGTCGATGATTGTCTGAACCACGTTGAGAAGCCTGCGACAATTATAGACCGGAAAGCGAAGACATTGAGGAACAAGGTAGTGAACTTGGTCAAAGTGCAGTGGCAACACCGAAGAGGCTCGGAGTGGACGTAGGAACCGGAGTCCGAGATGCGTGAGTAATAACCCGAGTTGTTTCCTGAGGATTACTTCGAGGGCGAAGTCTGATTCTAGCGAGGGAGAATTGTAATTGTTAGATTAGGTGTCTAAGTCCATAACTATAATTGGTATAAACTTGAATTGTTGGTACCATAGTTCTTTTGGGTTGCCCTCAAACCTAGCAATTGGACAAGATGACTTTTGGAGAGAGAAGGTAAATTTATTATTTGATTAATAAATTGGAATAAAATGATTTATTAACGTGTTATGAAAATAATATATTAATTAGAATCATATTATTTAATTAGTTATTAATCATAAATTAATTGGAATTAATTTTTGGATTAATTGAATTAATTAAAAGTGTAGGGGTTGTTTGGAAATTTATTGATAGTTGAGGAAAGAGGCTCTAGAACCTCCCTAGAAGAGGTTGGACGAAAACTTCTAGGAAGGCCCTTTGAATTTTCGTCCAAGGGCTATTGGATGGAGGGTCATGGGTTGCTTGGTCCTTAAGCTAAGGGATTAGGGTTTCCTCCTTAAACCCTAACTTTTGCTCTAAGTTACCTCACCTATATAAAGGGCATTAACCCTTCATATTTTTGGTCATCCTTTTGCCTAAGAGAATTCCAAAATTCCCTTATCCTCTCTCCTTTCTCATCATCTTGCTAGTGTTGGGTGTGAACCACTAAAGGCACGACATTTATGGTGCTTGCTCTCAAGGCTTCAACAACACAAGAATTTCTTTGTTATTTGTCAATAACAATTAAGGTATGTTTTCCTAACCCTAGATAGTAATTTTGAAATTATTCTAGGTGATCTAGGGTTTCTTATTTGATGTTCAAAGTTGTATGTTCAATTATAGAAAACATAGATCAAGATTTAGGGTTGCATGCACACATAGGATTTTTGTTTGTTATGCTTAAAAACTCATCAGTGATATCAGAGCCTTGGATTGTTTTCTATTGAATTGATTGCAATAGTTGACTTGATCAAATTAGGGTTTATGGAAATTAAACCCTATTGGACAAGGATTTCAAAATTAGGGTTCCTTAGGCCCTAAGTTTTCGAAATTTAGGAAAGGGTTGAAACCCTTGCCCTTACCTTACAAGTTTCGATCTTGGAGGGGTTTCCTTGCCCCTCAAGATTTTGAAAATAAGGTAAGGATGGAATCCTTACCTTCCTCTCCAAGCCACTATTTTTGAAAATTGCTAGATGAAATTAGGGTTATCTTATTTTTGGTAATTATCAGTTTATGTGGTTGAATAGGATGATTATAAATTTTTTTTATCCCTACCCATTATTTTCGAAAATTAAGGGGAAGGATTAGGATAAAATTATCTTGATTAATTTAATTGGATAATCCTAAATTGCTTTAATAAATTAATTAAATGTTTAATTAATAGATAATTATTAAATCAATTGGTTTAATTATTAAATTTAATTTAAATTTTAATTTTCAAAATTTAATAAATTAAACCTAGTATTTTGAAAAGTTTAAAATACACCTTATAGTATATGTAAAATTAAATGATTAATAATTACTATATGTATAAGAATAAGTCAGTCGAACCGCTAGTACGCCTCATTCACGAAACCGATCTATAAGGGGAGCTTAAGGAAGCGGCTTATAAAATGACCGTCATTGGGTATCCACGCTTACCCACCGCTCCCTTGATTGGTGGAGGGTCATTAGCTGAACGGGTTTGATAGGACAAATTAAATCCTAATTAATAAGTATAATGAATTAAGAAGTAACTAAACCTTTTATAAAAAATTCCCAATCTTATTTACTTTAGGAAAAATATGAATTGGTATGCTAACCCATG